TGAATGCAAATTTTATTAAATTGATATGTATGTAGATATTTTTGCGAAATATTTACCATTTACAATCAAGTGATTAATACATTATAATAAAATTTACATCAAATATTGAATTATAATTGTACATGCACACATAATATACTTCCATTTAGATGCAACATTTATAAATTCAATTAAAATCAATCATTAATTTCTCATTATTGTCAATATATTTCATGGAACTCGTAAATATTCCTCTTAATATTAGACTTTATAAACCATATATAAATTTGACAAAGGAAAGCATAATATAATTAATATAATACACTACATTGCACCAAAAGTAACATATGATTGGACTTTCTTGGATCAATGTTTAATTCTTTTGTTAATTTAAAGATGTAGGGTGTAAAAAGAAGGTAGTGATAGCTACATTAATCTAACTTAGGTTTGATTTAACGTTTTTCTTGTTCTGAAAAATGAGTGTCGATTTGGACTTTCTACCAGATTTCACCTATTGAGTGGAAAATGATTAGAAGAGGTTGAGATAAAGAAATTACACTGCAAACGTTAAGCTTAAGTTTCCGTCTATGTTTCATTTTCTTCTTCTAAATTTTTATTTTTAAATGTCAAATATTAATTTTAATCATATGTCTCGATATTCAAAAAAATCATAAGTATTATTCACTTGTCAACCATTCATTTTTTAAAGTATAAAATTATAATAAAATAAAATAAAATCCAAACATGAGCTAAAAGCAACTTAAGAATTCACTTCTCAACTTCCTAAAAGAGGTTAAACTTTTACCATTATAATCATGATCATGTCCCATTTGACTAAATAACCCACCAAACGCGTAAGCTATCGAAAATACAAAATCTTTTACTGCATTTGATAGGCGATATCGACTTTATAAGAGAGTAACTTATTTATTACGGTTGATTATTGTTTAACCCATCTTGTCAAATATGGTAAAAGGATCACAACATGTGCTGAACATGACATCTCGGTCGGTACCAAGTTGTTTGGGCCTGACAGGTAGAAAGAGAAGTCGATTTGAAGCATTAATTCCGTGCATTCAATCTTCTTTTGAAACTATTGATGTTATACTAGAACTTCTTTTCGAAAGAAGTACTAAAACTATGCGAAAGTCTCGCAAGGGTTTATGTACAAGGAACGGGAAAGCTCTTATGGGTTGTATCTGAAGACATGAAAAGAGATGTTTTTATGTAAGCAACAAAGGCCCAAGCTTATAGAATTATTGATTTTGTAGCAGTAGAAAGAAAATAAGACGGATGATGCTATACTAAACTTCTTCTTCATTAATGTATAAAGTAAAAATGAGCTCATTATTTTCATTTATATTGGTAAATCTTGACAATTTACAAAGATTATTCTCCGCAGAAGATATATCTATTCAATGAAGGATTACAGAATTCTTGCCTTCGTCATGAACAGTGCACACGCATCTGCCAGTGGAAATGGATCTTTTTATTGCAACTGAACAATTAAAGTCCTCTTGAGGAACCAGATTCCTTCCAAGATTGACATTTCTTCATTCGTATGTCTTCATCACCTTCTTCAATTCGCAAAATTTCACCAACTGAAAGATCGTTTTGACACGAAAATGTACCTAAAGAACTTGATCTGGTAAAGTTGTTACCATCTTTAGGATCAGTAGTCCTTGTAATGTTACTATTTCTTGTTTCGGAATCCTCCGCATTGGTATTGGGTGGACAGGGGCTTTTTGGTCGAGTATCATCGGTAACACTAACAACCTCATTCTCATGGTGGTTACTTTCACGATCATGATCATCCACCACCACGATTAAATCATCCGAGCCTTGAACTTCAAGAGATGCTATGTTGAGAGCCGGCGAATTTTGAGAACTCGGAGCAGATAGAGGCACAGGATTCGTAGAAGTAACATTGGCACGACAAAGAGGACAATTCGCGTGAAATTTTAACCATGTATCGACACAAGGAAGGTGAAAAGCATGGCTGCATTTTGGAAGTAGTCGAAGACTCTCATTTTCTTCGAATTCACTTAGACAAACAGAACACTCAGTCCCTTCAATTAGACCATCACTTTTGTTGTACTTAAAAACTGTGATAGTCTTAATAAGTGCCTCGTCTAGTCCATTTGAAGTAACCTGCCGCTGATCACGATTCGTTTCATCGTGAATTTCATCCAATTCCACACTCGCATTTGGATTATTTCTTTGCCCGCAATATCCTGTGACAATGGTATAGTAACTTACCAGCATAAACGCAATTGCCACGATGCCAATGATAGCGATAACCAGAGGGGAAAATGGGGTCTTGGAATCATCCTCTGATAGAGGAGGACGGGGAGGAGGAGGGAAGATTATGTAGCACCACTGTGGACAATACATGCTACAAATTCCTTGTGAACAGTCCTTGTAACTATAAGGTGCCCAAGGATTCGTATTTCCAATAGATCCCATGCACAAGAAATCTATAGTACTGTCAATAAAATTTTCAATAGCCTATACTGCCATCCCCTTGAGGGGTGGGGTAGCCGACACCAGAGCCACGAAGGGCTATCTAAATTAATTCGTTTTTGCCGATAAGCTCTAGGAGAAGGAAAGAAAGGTAAAGAGAAGGTGAAAGTTGATGTATCCTCCCATATTCTTCTTCTTCTTTGGCTCCGTTCCCCATATTCTTGCTTTATATTTTTGGCTTTTACTTTGGTGCTTTTATTCACCAAGGATTATGGTTTGTTGACCAAAGTGATGTGTTTGTGGAGAAAATGATCAATCAATTCTAAACTACAGTCCAAGTTAGTTGATGGATCTGAGTGTGTGGAGTACATCAGAAACACCTAAATTAGTGTGAACTGTTGTCCCCACAGAAGAGAGTGACACAAGAAATGCCTATTACTTAAAAGCCAAAAATTCTTCAATTGATGACATGTATGGTTTATCTTAAACTTCTTGTTCCAACCATGTTGATAAGCACCACTCTTTAAAACGTGTACCGAAAGTCTTTTTAAATGGTTATAAGTTCACCAACTAACTTTAATTTAGCATCGTGGAACATAATTACAGTCATTACAATATTTCTTTCCTATTTGACGTTCACATGATTTATAATCTTATATGATAATCAGTATTTTATTGAAAGTAACATTCTCGTAACTCGTACCGTCAGAGAATAAAATATGGTTACAACAACATTGAATAGAGCTCAATCTTGAAACTAATCTGTCAATGAGGGTTTTCAAATGATTTTTGTATTATAAATGCACAAATCAAGTCTTATCGTAACACAAAAAATATGTTCTTTCTTGTAGAGTTTAGGAGAGCACGGAATACAA